GGTCTCTCTGGTCTCTCTGGTCTCTCTGGTCTCTCTCTGGTCTCTCTCTGGTCTCTCTCTGGTCTCTCTCTGGTCTCTCTCTGGTCTCTCTCTGGTCTCTCTCTGGTCTCTCTCTGCTCTTTCTGGTCTCTCTGGTCTCTCTCTGCTCTCTCTAGTCTCTCTAGTCTCTCTCTGGTCTCTCTCTGGTCTCTCTCCGGTCTCTCTCTGGTCTCTCTCTGGTCTCTCTCTGGTCTCTCTCTGGTCTCTCTCTGGTCTCTCTCTGGTCTCTCTCTGCTCTCTCTCTGCTCTCTCTGCTCTCTCTGCTCTCTCTGGTCTCTCTCTGGTCTCTCTGGTCTCTCTCTGCTCTCTCTGCTCTCTCGGCTCTCTCTGGTCTCTCTCTGGTCTCTCTCTGGTCTCTCTCTGTCTCTCTCTGCTCTCTCTGCTCTCTCTGGTCTCTCTCTGGTCTCTCTGGTCTCTCTCTGGTCTCTCTCTGCTCTCTCTGGTCTCTCTGGTCTCTCTCTGGGCTCTCTCTGGTCTCTCTCTGCTCTCTCTCTGCTCTCTCTGCTCTCTCTGGTCTCTCTCTGGTCTCTCTGGTCTCTCTCTGCTCTCTCTGCTCTCTCTGCTCTCTCTGGTCTCTCTCTGGTCTCTCTGGTCTCTCTCTGGTCTCTCTCTGCTCTCTCTCTGCTCTCTCTGGTCTCTCTGGTCTCTCTCTGGGCTCTCTCTGGTCTCTCTCTGCTCTCTCTGCTCTCTCTGGTCTCTCTCTGGTCTCTCTGGTCTCTCTCTGGTCTCTCTGTTTTGTTTCTTCAGTTCCAAAACACCCAATTTTAAACTATATCTCGAACCTCATCTCGTCGCTGAGAGATAATTGATGGAGTCCGAGACAGTTCCAGATAAAATTATTTTCAGCGATAATTGAGGTGAAGTTAATATCTTTCTCTGTGAACTCACCACCTGTGATCTACAGCCTCAGTCCTGGGTCTACAGCCTACAGCCTACAGTAAGTAAGTAATCTTTATTTATATATAAAATTTACAATTGTTATTTTTGGGAGTGGGGGTGCCAGTACAGGAGGCACATGCCAGACCTATTGTACATATTTTTAGTGGTAGGGGAAACCGGAGCACCCGGAGGAAACCTACGCAGACACGAGGAGAACATGCAAACTCCACTCAGAAAGGCCCTGGTCCAACCGGGATTCGAACCCAGGACCTTCTTGCTGAGAGGCGAGAGTGCTATCCACTCAGCCACCGTGCCGCCCAGGGTCTACAGCCTCAGCCCTGGGTCTACAGCCTCAGTCCTGGGTCTACAGCCTCAGTACCTGTGTCTCTCTTACACCTGCTGAACTGGAAGCAAAGGGACGATCATTTTATCTCATGGTCTTCTCTGAATCTCGTCGATGGTTTAGTCTGGTCTCGGTGGGTCCTGAACCCTCCAGTCTCCAGAAGGTTTTTTTTTCACCTCCTACACTGGAAAAACTCCTTTGAAAAAATAAGACAAAAACATGAAAATAGTAAAATAAAACTCGCCCCAAACCACTCGATTCTAGAATAAAAACATACATTTCAAGTATTATTTACTTATTTTCTTAAAATAGAGCGTCACAAAGTTATTTCATCTAAACAAGAAAAGTCCGGAAATAAGAAAAACACTTTAAAAACTCACTGCTCAGACTTGACTGGTTTATTATAATAAGAGTGAATCCGTTTCTCTGTGTGCAGGCGGGCTCTATGCCACTTTCTCTCATCCTCCGTTTTTATTGGTTCTTCGTCCTGTCAATCACTCAATTAAAGGGACGCGTCTCCTTTCATTCGTCCTCTGACCTCATTCTCTTACTTCCGGTTTTAAATGTGAGATGTTTGTTTTATGAAGCACTGATGGTTAAATATCATGGTTCGGTGCTGCTGCCATGGGTTCGCTTGTGTTGCCGTGACTTGGGCCGTGTACTGCCCGCGGTGCTGTTTTTCAGAACCAGCTCATGTGTGTGAGCGGCTACAGCGCTAACCCAGGTTCGTAGCAGAACTTAGTTGTTAGAACAATTTGTGATTCGTTAAAGTGACCAGAATCATGTTAAAGTGACTAGAATCATGTTAAAGTGACCAGAACCATGTTAAAGTGACCAGAACCATGTTAAAGTGACCAGAACCATGTTAAAGTGACTAGAATCATGTTAAAGGGACCAGAACCATGTAATAAATGTACTGATTTCTGTGACTGTGTTTTCACAACAATCTAATGTGGATCCAGCTAAAACATTATCCACCACACCCTCCGAACACCACATCTGCTCCAAGCTTCTTATGGACAAGTGTAGATGGTTTTTCTGTTTCATGTCAAATAAATGATGCATCGAGACATGAAGTCAATACAGAGCGAGATACAGACACAGACAGACCCAGGAGTAACCCCTTGTGTTCGTTTTACAAACTGACAGCTGCAGGGTTTGGGGAAAAGCAGGTCTATTTTCTATTGGTTTATACAAGACACCGGTGACAGCTCCAGTCCGCGCTAATGCTCCAGAGGA